ATTTAACGTTTTAAAATAGTTAATCACGTCAAATGGAAAAAGGATAAAGAAAAAATGTCTAATCACTTAGTAGTTTAATTATTTTAGATTAAAATCAAGTATAGTTTTTATCATTAATTTAGTAAAAAAGTAACTATACAATATAATTGAATATTGTAAATTGATTTCAAGTATGGTAAAGAAAACAATCTAAAACTTTTCTAGCATACAGAGGAGGGGGGACATAATGAAAATGGAGGAGGTCAAGGTTGCTGGAAATTTTTTAAGGATTTTTTTTTTCAATTTTGTGCCAAAATTTAGAAATTTTTTGGCCAAGTATGAAATTTAGAGATTAAAAATCATTTTTCATATTGAATAGACTTACTAACTATTGTTCCAACATTAAATTTAAATTTTACTATCAAAACTAATTAATATAATAATAAATTATAAATTTTTTTATCAACCAATAATGATTATTAATTGTTATGAATAAAAGTTAGAAACATTAATTAGTTAAAATAAAATAAAAATGATGGACAAAGGCGTCTTATATTAAAAAGGTTGATGATTGGTGGTAAAATTTATGATTAAATTTTAAAAAAAATTAAGATTATATTAAATTTTTTTCAAAGTTGTAGAGGGGCCACCGCAACGTCACTCTACACATGGTTCTGTCCCACCTCAAGATCTCTATAGATGGTCCTCTAAACCATGGTTGTGGCATTTATCACCTAGCCTGCAACGTCTGGAAAACTTGTCTTCATATTTGATATTGAAATTTCTTATATATGTATATATATTAATTTAAATCACATTGAATCTTAATTAATTCGAAATCAAGTTGGGTTAGATAAAAACTCTTTAGTATTTGTTTTTCTATTCACAAAAGTAGAATTCAATATCTTATTTAAAAAAAACCAAAATCATTTCACTCAGATCGATAAATTGTTGGTTTGAAATTGAAATTTCTAACTAAGCATTTTATTGGCATTTTCCAACTTTGCCTACTGAACACTTGTCTTAACATTTAATGTTGAAATTTTTAACTTGGCATTTGCAACTTAAAGCTTAATTTGAGGGTGTTGCCTTATAATTGTAATTATAAGGTTTTTTGTTTTTTAGTATCTCATAAATATATTTAATATTTATTTTAATTAATATTTTATTTATTTTTATAATAATACCATCTTGGTTTATTCTTAGTAAATTTAATTTTTTGTTTAATAAGTTAGATACATAATAATTTATTGATAAAATTTTATATTTATTTTTAATTAAATACTATTTAAATAAAAAATTTTATTTA